AGTGAAACAATTTTTTTGTAATGTCCTTACTTGCCATTTCATCGCCTAGCATGAAAAAAAAAATTTTTTTTTGGCGTGTCAGAGGCTCTTTAAGCTGAAACGAAGTATACCATCACAACTAAGCAAACACCTGACAGTGGTTACACACTTACGAAACTTTTCTATTCTTTTATAAACCATAGCCTCCTCTATATTGACAAAGCCTGGCAGATCGCCACGAGACGCGGCCGCCGAAAGTGAACGGGTAGAGCGGAAGACAAGAGGCATGCAGCGGGCGCCCCGCTCCGGCGAGACGCCGAAACACACTTGTCCCTAGCGATGGAATGTCCGCTCGTGCTTCTCGCGTTCTTTGGGCTATTGCTTCTTTTCTCGTCAGGTTTGAAAACAATGTTTCGGGTCCTCGCCGCTGCAAAAGCTGTGCGCTGACTACAGGCTCCCCGAGAAATGCTCTGTGCTACCAGATCATCGCGCACCAAATCTGCGAACGGGCACTCTACGGCTCCGTCATCGAACTGCCAGGCTTTGTGAGTATAGAGGAGGCTATGTCTAAACTCATCTCGCACTTAACTGATCTTATCTTGAACAGTCCATCTTGATCAGGAAAAGAATGCGGAGTTTGTTAATAGTTTTCGGGAGCATAATCCACTCCAGGGCTCTACCAGCTCTACTAAAGCCTCTTCGATTTTATGACACCCTTTTACAGTCAGAGATGCCTTCTAGCTTTACCTTGCCAATCTTTGCATCCAAAATTCCTGCTTGCCCCTTTGTGTTCACAAAGGGGCAAGCAGCTTGTTTCCTCTACATGACGTGTTTTCAAGAAACCCTGGCACCGTCAAAACGTGTGGGCTCAGGATGGAGTATACATCTACAGAAGGATGCTTTATTGATATGACCTCTACAAAATGCATGCTACGAGAATACTCAACAGAACCCTTCCACAAGCCCCGTCACCTAATGGTCTCAGAAGCAAAAAAAAAAAAAAAATTCTTTTTTCCTTTTTTATTAATTTCCTGTTCTGGTTATTATTATTTTTTTTTTTTTTAAATACAGTATTATTGTATGTCCGAGTTCTCGCGCTTGAGCTATTGTACACATCCACTCAATTGTAAAATCCACTTAAATGGTTTTTGGTCATTGCTGGACAGCAGTGTTGCCCGCTCTGACCTGTTTATTGCTTTGCTAAAACACGGATAGGTTGTTCCGTCAGCCACCAAGTACTCGGATCAGAAAGCACATAACTGTGAATACACAAATGTTTGCTGCGTCTGTATTCCTGTGTGCAGGTATGATAGATGCTTACAACCCCGGTAGCAGTAATCCTCAAGAAATTCTCCAAACCAGCATACCACCGGTGTGCTTATACAGCGACTCCGTGACTTTGTTTTAAAAAAATTAGGAAATGTTAATGACATCTATCAACTATTGTTTCAGAGCAACGACGGCTAGGAGGATCGAGAAAGTATCGATTTCCTTTCGAGCCTCAGTAACGAATAACGTGTCACTTCTTTGAGTAACCCGTACTTGTCGGATTAAGCTCTGCCCTTGACGACCAGAATACGTTGCTGAATATCTATCCAGATAAACTGCATTCACTAGATATTAGCACTTTGATTCGAGAGAGTTTTGGAGACATCTGATGGGCGTATCAAATGCTAAACAGGCGCAGTCTTCCTTACAGCCCTTCCTTTTTCTCGCATCGATTCCCTCTTTTGCAGGGGGTCGCTTCTAGCATGTCAAACATATATTAGCGACATTATTGAACTACTTGCGTAAGCGCAGAAATGGAACTGATAGGCACTGATAACATGTGCGGCTATGGTTGAGATAACGTTATCTTTTCTACTTTACACTCGTAACTGACCTTTGCCTCCTATGATTACCTAGAAATATGTCGCCACACAGGAAGACGGAGTGTGTTTCTGCTCTGACTCGTGACTTTTACGACGCATCACCGATTCTGGCTGAACTAAACATAGAACTGTGGTCCCAAATATGTGAATTTCAGAAGCACATAGAAGATTGGAATCCCAGAGATTAGCTCACCCACTTTTGTGTGGGTCTAGAGAAAAGCTCACCAATCTTTCGACAGACCGGGAGAACAGCTCACCTGGATTTAAATTATTATTTAAAGTGGTCGTCATCATTTCATAGCGGTAGTGCTACCAAGGTTTACGGCACCTCTCACACAGACGATACACCGTGCAACAGAGTAAGCGCCAAGCGAGTTTTCGTATTTTACTTAGAGAAGGGGTTGATCAGCGTCAAACGTTTAGCGCACGAGTTTGTGCCCCGAATGAGGAATTTCTACCGCACTATACTTCGTCTTATCCTACGATGGAATAATGGCCAAAGCCACGGGCCGTCAGGTTGAATCACGTTCCACGCTAAACTCTGAGACGCTTAACATTGATTAGGGGTGGACAAATAATGCTCCGAATCAGAAACCGCTGCATAATTTCTATAGCTACGACACTGCAAAGACCCAGTGTGTCGTGGCTTTCTTTGAAATGTAAAATTGGTGAGTCACTAATTGCTATTCGATTCGAACCGTTGTCCGCCCATCCCCATCAGTGATCCGAGACGCGTGCACCGATACGTGCAACGAAGCGAAATACCACGCGATTTCTAAGTGGCTCGCGATTGGATCTGGCGGTTCATAGCTTTTGCCTGTAGTCCATCATAGGGTGAGACAAAGTATAGTAGTTTCCATGGCAACTAGGGCTTGGCATTCGGTCGATTAACTTACCGATTAATCGATTAATGCTTTAACCACGATTAACTTTTTTAACCGGTTAATCGGTTAAATCTTGATAAAAAAAAAAAAAAAAAGATATTTCAGCGCTTTCACCACGCAGACCTAATGTCGACGAGATTTGTTAACTCCAAACAAGTGGAGAAGGTTGTACGTGTCCCAGCCACTTGGACGCCGTGCGACTGCGAGTGCCCGTCGAGCGCAGCAGAAACTATAGTGTGAACAATCAGAGAAGGTCGCTCTTGCTGGAGGATATCAACGAACCCCTTTGCTTCGGCGGCTGGAAAATAGTTTGAGGGTGTGGCTGTCTTGACTTTACTCAACTACACATCAAGGATGATTTAAAATCGTAAATTGTACATTGCGCCATTCATCACATATTCAGCAAAGGCAAAAAAAAATCATGAGATTGAACGAAACCGATTAATCGATTAAAGGGCGGCAATTAATCGGGTTAATTTTTTAATCGACGCCCAGACCTAATGGCAACCACTCAACTGTAAGGGAAACAAATTCCATCGTTTTTTTTTTTTTATGTTGACAATGCCACGCAGTTTACATACTTCACATCAGGTATATCTGCTGTAGGCAAAATAAAAAAATAATGATTAAAGAACTTTTTTGTTTTAAAGTTGAGTCAAATTTATTTGATTTAAATCAAACTAATAACACTCTAGCTAAAAAAATATTGATCATTTATCACTATATGCATTCTTAAACACGGCAGGTTGTTTGATCAATTCATCCGACCAGTGAACACAATGTGGAAAAAAAGAATTACTGCAGTTTTTAAAACTTTTTGTTCGTGAAAACCTCGCCATCCAAGAACAAAAACAGCTTGTTTTGTTAGCGAAAAAGCTGTAATGGCTTTTCTTTTTTTAGATTTAATTTTCTTGAAAGACGACATTACTTTCCGTTTTTGTTTCTATATGATCCGTTCTGATTTGATTGCCAAAAGATTTGACGTAACTGACGAACGAAGTCGGGTGTAGAAATAAAAGCTCAACGGAACGGTTTGCTCCGAAGACCACTGCTTTTTGCTCGTGTTCAGACCGATATAAATCTTTCTTGTGTGATGATTTTTTTATTTAAATACAGAACATAAGCGCCTATTGAAAGCAACAGATAATAAACAAACAATACATTAAAAACAAATAGATATAATATTTTCTGTGGGGAATGTTTGATTTAAATCATCCTAGTAAAACCGGTCCGATTTCAATCACGATTTAAGTCATCTTGATTTTTGTTCTTCACCCTGGCTGTAGCCCTCGTTCCGCTTTTATGCCAACACATTTCGCGTGAGTGTTACCATATTTAATTCTGACGTAGCCGGGATATAGAAAATAAGACTTTTTTTATTTTTCGTTCGAATGAGGTAAGAATTGAAACCACTGCTTCCTAAACAAATGGTGAAATATAGAGATTCGCCAATGCGATGTCGATATGCTACTTAAAAGGTCATTTCATAAATAGAAACTACTCAAGCTGGCAGCCCTCTACACTGGTTATATTTCCTTCCGTTTTTTTGTTTTTTTTTAGCGTTTTATTGAAATTATTTTTTTATCTTCGCCGGGCAACGTCTAACGTGATACCACGAAGTTTCTATATTTTAAATATGAATTCTGCTAGTAAAGTGCAGAATTACCGCATGCGCATAAGGCATCCAGCACACTTCACTTGAGTGAACGCTCGATTCTTAGATTCGCAGGTGAGCTTTTCTCCGCATTCGACAAAACGTCGGTGAGCTTTTCTCCGCGTAGGACAGGTTTGCTGTCAGCTTTTCTCCGGTGAGCTTTTCTCCGGAGAGCTTTTCTCTAGTAAGCTTTTCTCCGCCGCCCGTCAAAGACACACAAAAGAGGGTCCGGATATGAGGAGAGTTCCTTTTTCCCCTCTTCTACAACTGCTTAGGTTACGCTCTCGCCCCGATACCTTTGGTAAGGGCCGTCACGTGCTTCGCCTTCGTCAACTCTGATTGGCTACGCTTGTTGATATGTGTGTTTTGGCCCGTTGTCATGGACGACTCAGACTATGCACGATCTTTCTGGAGAACGGAGGCAGTAACGAGACACGGCTGTGTGTCGGCCGGAGGAAGATAAATCCGGAGAGGCCAGCACGATATCGCATCTAAACGGAGGAGCGGAGATTTTGCGAAATACTGCATCCGGGTGGAAAGGGAGATAGCTATACCTGGCTATCTACCGAAATGTCAACTTTGCTCGAGTGAATGCAGTACAGGAGCACTCACTTGGTCATCCAGGAAGGGTGACGAAACGGCGTCGTTGGTATTGATGATCGGAATGATGTTGAGGCTGATCAGCTCCAGCAGCGTCTGTCGAAGCCAGTGCCGGCTGTCCGGATTGTAAAAATCCGGCCTGGTGACAAGCACCTGGGCGATATTGACGCCGTACTGGTTGAACATGGCGTCGTAGAGCGCCATCAAGCCGCTCTGTCCCACTGCAGCCGAAGCCCTCTTGTGCGGGTTCCGGGCGTCCTCGGCGGCAGGCCGCGAGCTCTCTTTCAGCGCCAATGTTTCGCGCATGGACATGGACATACGCATCTCCTTGTTGAGCCGCTGCTTGCCAAACGCCACCGCGCCACTGGTCACAATCAGCATCTCCTTGCCCTCGTTCTGCAGCTGGGACAGCTGCTCCACGATGGAGGCCAGGCGGCCCAGTGCCAGGCCGCATTCGTCCTCCCGCGTCAGCACCGCCGTGCCCAGCTTGACGACCACGCGCCGTGCCTGGGACAGCTCGCTGCGGTACGCCGATGGACGCCGGCTGGACTTGCCCAGCTGCTGCTCGAGGACCCGGTCCAGGCCCCTGGCGCCGTACGCCAGACCGCGGGCGCCCGCTCGGAGCCACATCGTGTCCCACCTGCGACACGACAGCAAGTCGACCGGCGCAGCTCTTTGTGCACGCGCCCAGCGCTTCGCGTCTTATCGTCCGGAAAACACTCCAAGGTTGCATGGGCCATAGTCCACCAGGAGGCGCCTGGCTCGATTATCGAACCCCGCGATGGAACAATGCGACCGCGAGCCACATCTGCATCACTCAATCAGGACCCGAACAAGGACGATAGCCGAAATGCGCAATAAGGCGACAGGACGCCCTTCCAGACGGGCTTCTGGGCATACCGTAGTTTGGAGGTGAAAAGGCCCACCCGAGGCCCCTGGTGTAATGGTCGGGGTGCTAAGGTTCTGAGCGCGTCAGGAAGGCTAAGGAGTGAAAGGAAGCAACAGGAGCGCGAGGCTCGCAGTTTCGCGTGCCAGAAATCGAAGAAATAGAACATTGGGAGACAAAAGTGGGAAATTGAGCAAGACGAAACAGACTAAGGAGAAACAATATTTGTTGAAGGAAAACTGTTAGGACGATGTTTGTCAATGTGCAAAATATTTTTTGAAAACCCTAACCTCAGATTGACATGACTAGATGCCCTTCCGAAGTCGCGGTTCGAGAACTGCAGAGTACCTGCGTACTCCGTCCGCAAGCTTTCTACGAACGAGGGCAAGCTTGTATAGTTCAAGCACGTGTTTTAGACCAGGTGTTATCAAAAATAAACCAGCTAGGCCTATGAAAACCACAAAAGTTGCCTAATATACATATGGCATTTACTCGTCTGCTGCATTTATATACAGACCTCGCTTCAAGCATGCCTCCAACGCTCCCAAATCTTTGTTTAGATAGCGTCACGCACCTCTCGCGAAAAGGCCTGAATCTCCTCGACCGCGTCGAAACTCCAGCCTTTCAACTTCAATTTCGAACTGAAGATAGATTGTAGATTGTCCGCGCACTGCGGACAATCGGACTCCTCTGGCGTTTAATCGACACAGCAAAAAGCACGAAAAAAAAAAAAAAAAAAAAGAAGCGTACACGTTTCTCAGAAAACGTGAACGTTGCGGCGTGCGCTTACGTTTTCAGTGAGAACATCAACCACGACAACACGACTTTCCTCATCACATCTCCGCTGTCGTCTCCGGGTGGTTCGGGACAGACAACAATAGGCGGTATTCACTTGACGTCACTCGCTAGGTGCGCTGGCATCGAGCGCCGCGAGCGCCATCTTCGAGGTCTCTCTCACATTCCGCTTAGCGTTGCGCCTGCCGTTTGCCTGTGTCAAATGCAAACCGGGATTGTCAAGCGTTTACAGGTTTCAAGCTTTCTTTTTTGGCTTTTTCGTAGAACAGTTGGACAATTTCCTGCTTGGTTTTGTTGCTAGAGCGCACTCGGCCACTACGGCAGTATGATCGCGATGCCCCGACGGCTTCGTGTTGTGCCCACGGTGGTCATTTCTCTGCGCAAGGGAACCGCGCGGCTTCCCGTGTGACTAGCAGGCACGTAGCCAGGGGGGGGGGGGGGGGGGGGGGGGGCATGGGGCCCGGCCCACTCCCCCCCGAAATCTTCCATTTTGCTGGGACCTCCTCTCCCCCCTCCCCTTCATACAGCATTTTGTCATGGGCGCCCCCCCCCCCCCCCCCCGAAACAAAATCCTGGCTACGTGCCTGGTGAGTAGGTAATCAATAATGCTGCTCAGTAATTTTGCGGAGCAACTTTCTGGGCGCTCAGTAAAAAGATCGTTATTTCTACAAAGTAAATCGGTGCCGCGGCATCAACCCCCTAAGAGACAATGAGATGTTGCGCAACAGCAGCCTGTTTTCGCATGTAGAGTTTACCGAGATTAAAGGGGCACTGAAGTCAATTTTGAAAAAGGTCGATTTTGGTCTGATATTGTTTAAAATGTGTTAGTTCCCACATTACCAAGTCCTATATTACAAAATTTCATATTAATCTCAGGGCAAGAGAAAAACATGTGGACTCTTTTTTTCTTGCAGACTGAATGAAAGAAAGGAAAATCTCTAACCAAAAAATTGATATGGAGCCCGACGTTGTGTGAACCAATTAAAGCCCTACAATACGAGCAGATTCCCAATGATTTTATTATAGACATGATTAAAATAGCGCAAACTTGATAAGGACAACAAAGAAGGCACACTGGCGCTTACTTCCAACTAAGTTTATTTCATCATCAACCAAGCATTATATACCATCGCCAGCGAGCATAAAAACCCCAAAACACACAAAAAAATTATACTTTAAGATTATATGCCTACCACGCGCCGTTCTTTAGATAAAACCATCAAGAAAAAATATTTCTTTGCCAATGAGACACACCGACGGCATGCTGACGCACTTGTCTCCCGCTTTTTTTATAAAAAAACTCCTCTATAATTTCCCTCTCTGTCTTGTCCTTTGCTTTCTTTAGGAACTTCGTCATATTCAAAAGTGGTTTACACCCTCGTTTAACGTGCTCAGCAAGATGACCGCCCGAATTGCTTCGTACAGACAGATTATGTTCGCGCGCTCTCTCATTGAAACACCGACCTGTTTGTCCAATGTAAACGCGGCCACAGCTAAAAGGAATTTCATAAACAACCCCACTTGTGCAGTTAGTGTACATGACGGCATGTTTTTTTGCGCATTGATCACTTTTTTCCTTGTAAGTATAGGACATATCTTGCCAAGCTTGCAGGGAGCCGAAAAAAGGAGATTAATACCATATCTACCAGCTATCTTTTTCAAATTATGCGATACCCTGTGCATATAAGGCACAACTTGCACTCTTTTTTTGTTGATCTGTTCTAGAGTACGTTTTTTATTCTGTGATCTTTAAGTTTCTGTAATAGGCTCTCGCAAACACTTGAAAGTAACATGTTAGGGTACCCTGCAGATTTTAACTTCCTAAACTGCTGATCGAGGGCGGTTGACATTTTGTGCTCGCAACTTTTTGTGAGGGCAGCCAGTAAGCAATTTGTAGCTATTCCTCTTTTTATAAGTTTGGAGTGGGCACTTTCGAATGACAAAATACTTTTTTTTTTTTTGGATCGCGGGTTGTACATCCAGCACAAGTGTTGCCTAGAGAAATCAAGCTGTACATCTAAAAACTGAATGCAATTCTGGTTTGCGAATTCGCAAGTGAAATTTAAACCTCCCGAGTGACTATTAAAAATGTCGATAATTTTCGAAGCAACATCAACTTCATTTGTCCCAGCCAAATCACCTAAAACAATTAAAAAATCGTCGACGTATCTATAAACCTTAAGCACATGTACATCTTCAAGAGACCCACATATACGTTTATCCATTTCACCCAGATAAATATCGCACACCACTGGGGCGACAGAAGACCCAATACATATACCATTTTTTTGTATAAAGAACTGGTCATTAAGGCTGACAGCTGTCGACTTAACATAGAATTCCAGGAGGGTTAGAAAGTTCTCACAGTTGATTCCAGCCGATTCTGGAACTTGGTCCGTCCGGATTCCTCGATCTTGTCCATCACAGCATTGAAGAGTCCATTATGTGGCACTGAATAATACAAGTCTTCTACATCCACTGAGAAGGCTGATCTGGCCGTTATAAGTCCGTCCTTGATGTCCTGTACTATTTCCATTGAGTTTTTTTACAAAAAAAAAAGGATCATCACATGCCAACGTATTCAGTTGACGCTGTAAATAACGGCTCACTTGGACTTGCCACGAATTCTTCTCTGATACTATTACCCGTAGAGGGCACTCTGGTTTGTGAGTCTTTCCGGAAAGGAACACTTCCAAAACACCACTTTCTGCTTTGTTAACAGCCTTTTTTAAGCTATTCAGGTTCAAGTCCGTTAGCATCTTGAGTGCTGCTGTCTTCTGTTGCTTAGGCCGAAAGTTACTTGTTTTAAAATTCTTCTCTATTGCCGATTTCGCCTTGTCTTGAAACATGCCTTCAGGCATAACCACGAATCCGCCTTCCTTTTCCACTTGTACAATCGTCAAACCACTCTGCTTCAAACAATTGACTACTTTCTGGAAGGTTTTCCTTTAGGTTTCAGACTTACTGTGCGACTGAGGCTGTCCACTCCGTCGCGGACGACTTTCTCCCTGTCCTGTTCTCCAGCGCTTCCTGCAACACGATGAACCATGGCTAGTAGCTGGTGCCGACTGGAGGAAGGTTCGTAACTGTACTTTGGGCCTTCTTCCACGACCTTGTGTACACTTTCCGGTAGTTGGACGATCCCCAGAATCGTGACGTTGCTATTTGTTGCTGCCTCGTGGTTCTTCCTTGATGAAGGTAGGCTTAATCGCGCTCTCTGCCACAGAAATTCTGTAGTCTGTTTTGCCAACGTCCCGTACTCGGCATACCGATGGTCTTGATTGTGGGATCCGTCTTCTCCTTGAGCGATGATCCTCAGCCAGTCTTGTAGCAAGCGAACCTCTCTCAAGTATTCAGATGTCAGGATCTTGCAGATTCTCTTTGCATGCCCCCAAGAAGGTTCCAGTACTCCGAACAGAGCTTGAACCTCTGAAGGAATGTATTTACTTTTTACGCAGTACGCCAGGACCCGGGATTGGCAGATGGAAAAGGCAATAAGGTTGATACAGGTGATGGCAATTTCTTGCTTGGATTGATGAAAAAGGAAAGGGCCCAGGGTAGAAGAAATATGTTGTAAAACGACTTTTGTTTGGGCTAGCTGGTTCTTACTAGACATGATTAAAATAGCGCAAACTTCACAAGGAGAACAAAGAAGGCACACGTACAACAGGACTGGCGCTTGAAGTTGATGTTGCTTCGAAAATTATCGACATTTTTAATAGTCACTCGGGAGGTTTAAATTTTACTTGCGAACTTGCAAACCAGAATAGCATTCAGTTTTTAGATTTACAGCTTGGTTTCTCTAGGCAACACTTGTGCTGGATGTACAACCCGCGATCCAAAAAAAAAAAAAAGTATTTTGTCATTTGAAAGTGCCCACTCCAAGCTTATAAAAAGAGGAATAGCTACAAATTGCTTACTGGCTGCCCTCACAAAAAGTTGCGAACACAAAATGCCAA